CAAAATGAAGAATAATTTAGTCATTCTTAAATACGGAAAAAAATTGTTACACATTATTTTTCCGTCTTCTTTGCGACCATTATAGTATTAGACATTATTGATTTCACACGAATCATTATCTGCAGAGGTCACACTTTTTGCAAACCGCAGAATAAATTTTTTGACAAACAGGAATGAGAATTAGCCAATTTAGATTCTTAAATTTCAAATTCCAAATTATAAATTGAATTATTAGGGGTTTCAAAGTTAAAATGCGGAAATCTAATTTTAATTGAAATTGGTTACAGATTTATTTTAAAATGAGCGATGTATCAACTTTATTTCAAATTTGAAAGTTAAAATGCGGAAATCTAATTTTAATTGAAATTGGTTACAGATTTATTTTCACATGAGCGATGTATCAACTTTATTTCAAATTTGAAATGATGATTTTTGTCGTTGAAAAGCCTATTTATTTCGTTAAATGGGGATCTCCAGACACTCCCATTTCATTATCCGATTTTGAAATTTTTGAAATACAATAAGGTTTTTCAAACTCTCATTTAATTTCAAAATGCGCCACTCTTTGAAACTTCCTATTATAAATAGTTAATAATTTTTTAAAAATTTCGATAAATTCAAGAAAACATTTAATCCTAAATTTTTAAAAAAAATCGATTAATTCAAGATAACAAATCTTTAATGAAAATAATGCTTGCATATAAATTACAAGTTATAGGATGTTTATTAATTTTACTAGCAATAATCAACACTTCTACAACATACTCTATTGATAAAACGATTATTACCCCCCGAGATCCTTCGTATCCTATACATAATGTCTCCAATAGGTACCGTGGAGATCTTATATCAATGCAGCATATTTGCCTCTACTGGATTAGTGGAGACTATGTAACTCGTTGGCAAGAATGTGTAGAAGATTTTGATGGTAAAGATTACGTAACAGTAGGGTATAGCTCCCCATGGTGGGCAGCAGGATATTATTTTGGAGCATATGACGAATTCTACAGGGCAACATTTTCAACTGATTATGTAATGTGGTTTAATGACGACCACGGTCAAGAATATTGTAATGATCTTCATTATCATATTAAGGGTTTTAAGCTGAAACAGGATTATAATAAGTATGAAGCCGTAGCCCCTTCAAAGTGTGAATGGGATAATTAATAACTAGTGTATCGCGGTTTGCTTACGCAACTCATCCAATTCTTAATAATTGAGTTTTTACAGAAAGAAAAATAATTGATCAAATTTTAAATATTGTAATACGCATATTATCAAACAAATAATTGTCCAAAAAGTACTTTTTTATATTTAACAAGGACTTGATATATTTAAGAGAATTAAAGATACAATAATATTTTTATTTTATAACTAGCTTTAAACCCGTCGCTGCTCCGGGATAAAGTTTTAATTTTTTATAATTTTTAATTTTTTTAAAATTTAATTATTAATTTATTTCTTAATCTGTAAGTTTTTCCAGGCAAATTTGTCTAGGATTTATTATAAATATATTTATAATCTACTTTTTTCAAATTTTAAAATATTTAAATAAAATTTGGTTTAATAATATTTAAAAATAAAGATTATATTATAAGAAAAGGTTAAGATGCTTATAAAATAAGAATAAACTTATTTAAAAAAATTTTGTTAAAAAATTATTTATTTATTCTTGGTAAATTCTTTAAATATTAATTTTAAAGCTATAGTTCTTAATATAAAATTATAGCTTATATAAAGAATAATTTTTATTATTACAACTTTGCAATTTATTTATAAAAATTTAGACTTGTGTTAAGAGCAAAAATTTTTATCTTCAGAAATATATCAATATTGTGTAATATATAAATCAAACTAATTTTTATCTAAACAAAATTAATTTTTTTATTATTAGGTAAGCATAAAGGTTTAAGGTTAGAGTTAAGCAAAACTTATAGTAAAATTTAGCAAGAAAATTTTTTTCTTAGAGTATCAAAGGTGGTTTAATTAATAAAATTTTAAGATACTGTATAATCAAATTTTAATATTTTACTTTGTTTTGTTGTACAAAAAAATGATCTGCATATAATCTGCAAATTGTATATAATTCTAGATTTTTATTGGGTTTACTACTAATTTTGTGTAATTATGTGTGCATACACTAGTGTACAAATAGTAATTCTCTTTATAATAAATATATACCCATATTATTAATAAATTATTGTTTATTTAAAAAATACTAAATATAATTTAATTTTCCAGACAAATTTCAAATGCCAACACTGATTAAAAGTGATTGACCAATAGAAGAAAGTTATCATAAAAATACGAAATAATGATCTACACCCTTGTTATAACATAACAGTAATGATTTATATCCATACCTAGTTATGACTAACTTATTTACATAAGGTACAATAGGTTTACTAATTTTTTCTACCAATCCTACCTAGGGATAGGTTCGGTCAGTTACGGTCAGTTATTAGTCAGCTATTATCGATTATCGACTCAGAGTTGACTATAGCTGGCTATAGCCGATCAATTGAAGATCTTTTAAATTTGATAGATGTTCAAAAACTTTGATCGAAGGTATCTTGATATCTACCTGATCAAATTCAATAACAATTTTTTTATTTGTATTCTACTGCTTTCTATAATCAAACAAAAAAAACTTCATCGAATTTGACTTAGTGAATGCTGAGATATCTTCGATCAAAGTTTCAAAACAACTTTGCCACAGCTATATTTAGAATTTTACAAAATCTTTGATCAAATATATCTCGGCTAGAGGTTGGACCCGTTAACCACTTATCTGGATATCTCTACTGTTAACCACATATCCGGACGTTATAGTTGTTTCACGGATAAAAACCGTTTCCAAAAGAGTACCC